TGGAAATACAATTACAAATGTAGCTAGCTAAGGCTTGATTGATGAATTATGTTAATAATAGATCTGAACAAGTTTTGTTGGAAATAGTAAATCTTCTGTTAAGACAACAAATGCATGCAGACGTGGCGAAGGGATCGGTACTTGGCCCGTTACTATTTATACTTTATATAACAATTCAGAAATTCTATCAAAACGTTTTGCTGATTACATTTCTCTTTTATGTTCGGAAAAATCCATCCCCACAAGTAATTGAACAAAACTAATTAATGATCTAATAAATATACAATTTTGAACAGATAAGTGGTTGGTTAAGTTTCATTCTTCAATAACAAGTCTAGAGGCTTTATTTATATCTCATAATGAATTGGACAACCTGATGGAAATAAACATTAATACATTTTTATAATACAAGTATAGATAAGTTGATAATCATAAGCAGCAGGAAGTATTCATCGATGCTAGCTGCAAGTGAACATACAGCGTATCACATTGATAATATAAGTAAAAACGTAGTTAAACAATTAGAAGTCCTTCGTAAACTTTAATATGTTCTGAACCGACGTACACTGATTAAGATATATAGAGAATTTATGCCTCCTATTCTAGAATATTGCTGTGAACTTTGGGATGGATGTTCCCTTACTTACTACCAATAAATTGGAAAAGATAAATTGGAAAAGTAACAACTAGAGGTTGGACGTATGAACACCGGTCTACCTTCTTATACTGGTAGACAATCTTTAGGACAATCGCTGAAAACTACAACTTATCTAACGGCAGACTCCAATTATCTATCGTATCCTCTTTACGTTCTACAATTAGACTGTGGAACTAGTTGCCTATTAGTATGAGACGTAGTGATTCATTGTCATCATTCAGAAACGCTGTACGAGACATGAACTTGTCTCAGGTACCAAATTAGCTTTTTACGGCGATAGAAAAAACAACGTTTTAATGTAAAACATTTTTTTAAATGATCCATTTCGTGTAAACCTTATTGATGACCAACTTTGTACATGTGACTTTCCCATTTTTATCTGGGATAAGTATCCTGAACAAAAAACTAAGCTTGATTGTGAACTAAATGGATACATCTGCATCTACTTCTTGTGGAGATTCTTTTTGTCGGAACAAGAAAAAAATTATATCTATGCAAACTAAACAATATATTCCTGACTCGAACAGATTCTAGTACGCCCCCAACCCCCCCCTCCCCCGGATCTCTTCCTGTTTGTTTGCTCTACAAACTTGACTTTCCCTATATGACTCTGATATTAGGTAGTTTATACGAGTAGACATATGGGCGTTACTAGATGCGACCTTAGAATGCTTGGGCTTTCCCTGTGTATACGGACTAGTTGAAACGGAAATACCGGAAAACATGAATTGAACAGAAGGAAGAATTTACAGCACGGGATGTGATGGACATTTGATAAGTAGCGAGTCATGACTAGTGAAAAGTGTATTCCTTGTGTTTGCATGGACAAAGAACAACCACTTGGTCTTCATATATATAAACTGCATATTTACACTCCCCCCCCCCCCCCCCCCCCCCCCCCCCCCCCCCCCNATTGATTTTAACATAAAGTGTCAAGTGCGGGAGTGTGTATGTGTGATTATATGCAAATGAACTTACATGTATCAATGTGCTCTATCATCAAGTATGGTAAATCTTAAGCTACGTTATTATTGTAATATATAACGGATGGGTTCTGTATAATTTGTGCCCCATCCTGTTGCTATTTTAAGGTAATAAAATGTGCGAATAAAATAAATACACGTAGGTAGTCTTAAAGGCCCGTAGTTACTATACTCCTCCGGATGAATCAGCGTTGTGAGCCTATGGCAGCTCACAACAACTCGTGAAACTTCACTTGATATTTCACACTACTTACACTACATGCAATTCTCAGTATATGTAGCGTTTTATACTGTTTGGTTACCTGCAGTAATTGTTCTACGGTTGCTTTTGTTTGTTATATTTCACTATTCCTCATACCCAGGTTATTGTTTTTGCTTCGTTTCTTGTATGTGTGTCGCGAACGATTTTGGACGGCTCGTCGACCTTTTCGAAGGAATTCATCTGTGTTAGGAAATAACTCTTCTACTTCTTATTTGTAAAACTCGCCGTCAGGTTTGACGATTATGCCAGTACCATGTTAAATGGACGGCATTGCGTGAATGTACGTACAGTGATATGTTTTAGTAGTTTTAAAGTAGTTTATATAAGATAATTGCTGTTGATTACATCGAGTTGAGGAGGTGTCAGGTGTCACATTTAGGTTTAATGAATTAATGTGTTACATGTACGATATATAATGTTTGGGTGTGTTTTCATTTACACAATCAACTATGCGTACGTTCCATTACAGTGATTTGTATTAGACTTCTTGTGCACTCTCATTTACGAATTGTATAGTACGAGGACGAAGACAGCGGGATGGTTCGATGTTTAAATGTAACACTTTAGAAGTAAAACTTGACGGACTTGCAAATACAAATGCAGACATGGAAAGACTTTGCCAAGTTCTAGACTTGCCAAAAACAACATTTAATCACTAAGCCCGTCCATATTAAATAACGAACTAATAATATTGTCCAACCGTTTTGATCGCGTTAAAAAGTACGTTTTCGGAAATAACTTACTCTACAATATTTTTGTAAGCGTGTTTATTGTAAAATTATATACCTGTATTTGTTATATTGGTTACGTATATCATACATCGATTGATTATAAGCAACAACTGTTAGTACTATGTCCAACAGCATTTTATACCAAATTTATGAACCCGCATAACTCGAATACTCGGATAATTCGAAGTTTTCTCACGACCCCGTTGACTTCGAGATACCGAGGTTCGAATGTACATAATTCTTTCACTAAAAAGTGTCCCGATTTGGGTACTGTGACGGTAGACTGTTCTTCTTTAGCCGCCTTCTTAGATCTTTACTTACAACATAGCAAATATGAACGGCTTACTTCCAAGCTGTACGATAAGTGGGCTAGCAATATCCCGGCTTTCCCTACCTTAAGGGGTTAATATGTCTCAGTGTATCCGGTGATCAACAGCTTGCTCCGAATACCATGACTCCCGTGACAGAAATACTTACAAAACAGAGTTTCACAGTAATTTAAAATGTTATCGTTTCTACAAATTTCACGTAGATATTCGAAAATCTTTGACAAATTTATTGAGTTGAAAAAAGATTTGATTTTCAGAATTTCTATTATTGTCAGCACTAAAATAGCGATAGATAAACTAGTTTTTTTCTTCTACATTCTACATATATCAGATAGTAAGTCATATGTTTCAACATACATACAACACAGCATTTACGCAAGGTAATATTAAAACCTCCGTCCATTTCCGACCTACGAGACACTATACTATAAAACCTACTTTTCCTGAATTTCACTTTTGTCATTAAAAGCAGATATTAGATAGTTCTGGTATCCAGAGTTCAGACAAATGTCTACTTTCATTGCACATTTTATGAAAAAAATGGAAAAGTTTGAGGAAATATTTTCATTTGATTAGAACAAATTAACGGTAACAGTAAATGTGTGCGTAAACTATTCTTATGCTCCAAATTTATTCTTTCGATATTTAGATGTAGATTAAGCACTTGGTTTGTAATCTCAATACAAGTTCCTTGGGCCCAGGGTTAAGCTAGGGGAGAAGACCGTTACGCTGTACATACCGATTATCACCATTTATGGCTCTATCCAAAATGTTTGCTACTCATCCAACATTTCTCCTCTTCATATACGCAACGGAATAGCAGGCACAAATTAATCCGGCTCAAACAGTTAAAAGCACAAGATTGCTGCACCCAAGCACTCTTGCAGCGTCGATGCTTTCTGCATTAATTTATTCTCTCTTGCTCCCTCCAAGCGTCTTTTCCCCCGGACTAACGACTAAATAAAGGCATTCTTACGCGATTGATAATCATTTGCATTCCTGTCATTTATCTTGAAATATTGTCAAATATAAAGACATAGTATGTTTAAAGAATAACTCACAAAAGATGATAATAATAATAATAATCATAACAATACACAACATTTGATAAGCAACTCTAAAGCGCTTTACAGTACATAGATATAAAATTAATACAATTAGCATATACATTAATTAATACAATATGCCACCTGGCTAATATATCCCTATGTGTGTATGCCTGCATGTATGCAGGAGATGGCATAATCCATAGCGTCACCTCACTTGAATGCTACAGCACAGATACCGCAACACTTTCTCTGAATATTTCATGCGTGCGACGATTTCGAGGATCGGACCCCGGCCACCTGCATGGAAGGCCGAAGTGTTCACCACTCGACCAATCCGCCAACATAAGTCACTATTGGAAATTTTCACTGGAGATTTCTAGTATACAAAATTTCATTGGATAGCATTTATTTTTTTCGTTAGTCTGAGAATAAGACAGGATGCAGTTATGTGTCCTCAACTATTTGAGATATATAGAAATCAATTATAGGAGAGAAGTTTAGGGTCTCTAAAAACTTTAGTTTCCATACGTAATGGATCTGTTACAAGAGGGATTCCTTTTGATCAAAGTAGGGAAAGTTATATTATGTATAAAGATTGCTTCACTTGTCCATGTTCGAATTCGTTATAAACAATCATATCCTCAGCAACCAGAATGTATAAGAGTAATTAATTATGCGTTAATCTGCACAAATGACATTGACCAGCGAACTTAGTCTTAAACATGTTATTATAACATCGTGTTTATGTCATCTACTTGATTGACTTGAAATTAATGTACACCGGAGAACTCTGTTATATTTTTGCCAAAAGTACCACTAAGACAGTTATTGTTGTAAGAGAGCATTTACTCAAATGCCCAAGTCTAATAGCATTGAGCAAAATGCCAAAATCTTTTTTTTTAGATTGAAATTAAAATACAATGTTATAGACAAAATAGGTGGGACTAAATATAAAAACAATTGACTATGCCAAAGTGTTATAGCATTTAGCAAAATGCTTTTTTATTCAAAAGGGGATGAAGTCAGGGGTAGAGGTGGGCATATAAAACAATAAAAAAATTGCACTCACATGACATACTACTGAAGTGACAAGGGAGATAACCCAGTTATTATTAGATTACATATTTCCACCTCAAACCGAATAATTGAATACAAGCACATAGGTAAACATGTTGAAATATAAAACCGAGGTTATAAATTCCTTTATGTGAATATTAATACAATTATAATATCGTGTTTGTGTGATCTACTTGAAATTAAAGCACACCGGAGAACTCTGCTAGGATTTTGCCAAAAATATCTATAAGACATTTATTGTTGTAATAGAGCATTTATTCAAATGCCAAAGTCTAATACCAGTTAATATGTATGTGCATAACACATTTTGTTGAAATAGGACCATAATAAGCACACTTATTACATGGAAACTAATAAACCGATCAAAATGTATGTGTAATTAATTATGCATAAATTTGCATGGATCACATTGACCAGCGAACTTAAACATGTTAATAGGTATGTGCACACCAAATTGTGTTTAAATAGAACCACTATTAGAGCACTTAATGCACTTAGCAATCAGAATGTATAAGTGTTATTAATTATGTGTAAATATAAAAGGATCACATTGACGAGTGAACTTAGTCTTAACATGTTAGCATGTATGAGACCATTTTAGCATGTATGAGACCATTTTAGCAGGTATGAGACCATTTAGCACGTATGAGACCATTTAAGCATGTATGAGACCATGTTAGCATGTATGAGACCATTTTAGCATGTATGAGACCATGTTAGCATGTATGAGACCATTTTAGCATATATGAGACCATTTTAGAATGTCTGTGACCATTTTAGCATGTATGAGACCATGTTAGCATGTATGAGACCATTTTAGCATGCATGAGACCATTTTAGCATGCATGAAACCATTTAAGCATGTATGAGACCATGTTAGCATGTATGAGACCATTTTAGCATGTATGAGACCATTTTAGCATGTATGAGACCATTTTAGCATGTATGAAACCATGTTAGCATGTGTGAGACCATGTAAGCATGTATGAGACCATTTTAGCATGTATGAGACCATTTTAGCATGTATGAGACCATTTTAGAATGTCTGAGACCATTTTAGCATGTATGAGACCATGTTAGCATGTATGAGACCATGTTAGCATGTATGAGACTATTTTAGCAAGTATGAGACCATTTTAGTAGTATGCGACCAATTTAGCATGTATGAGACCATTTTAGCGTAGTTATTACAAGGACACTGAAAGGTGACAGACGGACGGACCCAAGTTAATATCCCTCGATTTGTTTCGAAAAGCGGGAGATATTAGAAGTACAGTAAAATACAACGTTGTTTTTACAATACTAATTACGGTATATCTTTGTTTTTAAATGGTAATACCATGCCATCCTCAGGTCATTTGTATTTGCATAGAAATGGGAGGCTTTTGCACTGTCGAATTGTTCATCCTCGAGTGAAACACGCTTTGTTATGTGGAAACCTGCAAGGTTTATCGGCTTCACATCGAGTTTATAAGCAATAATTGCTAGAAAAATGTCATCAAACTTAAACTGCTTAGTAAATGGGATAGCAATCTGGAGTTTTTTGACAAATTCCATCGACAACATAAGGGCACCGGCACTAATGAACGGCGGATACTTGTCAAAAGGATAGTCTTCAAATGGCATATACCATTTCTGAGTTGGGCCTCTCTGTGGAATATCGTCAAACACGTAACCCGCAAAGAGAGAGCGAACTGTGCTGTAAGGTAGTCCGTTCAGGTACTCCAAGAGGAAATCCGTGGCAACGTAAAAATCATCATCCACCATCATAACAAATTTAGCTTTGGGACAATACTTAACACACCAATTAATGCCTCCAATAGTTTTGTATGTGTTCCTGTAATAGTTATCAACATACGTCATCTGGACGATGTCGTCATACATATCTTCCTCCAATGAAAGACGATCATTTATTGATATATTCGTAGTTCGTGCAAGAAGAAAGGCATGACGGATGATATCTTGTTTGAAATATTTCCTGTTAGTCCATGTCTCCCTGATAGCTTGTCGCTGATCGAAATTTCCCGGTGCTGACTTTATCATAAACAACAGTGTTATTTCTTCCTTTGATTCACAAATATTTTCTTTTGGTTTTACATATGTATATGGATACACATTGATAGGTTTGACGGGTGTTTGACCCGTTTTGCTGATGTCGATAATTAATTCTCTGAAGTTGATGTCCAGAGGATAACGAAACATACGAAAGGGAATCTCTCTCTTATCATTTACACTTTTTGAAACCTTTTGATTATGTATCATGTAGATCATCATCAGAGCAAAGACGGTTGGTATAATAAGAAACATCGTACCAGCTTTTAAACGTCTGTAACGCAGGACTTTCATGATCATATTCGATTACGGAAGTGCTATATAACGTCAACTTTTTGGAACTGCTTGTTATCAAGAATCAAGTTTTTACTAAATTGTATATCGAAGCGATTACAAATGAACTCAGCTTTGCATTAATCTTTGTTACGTACGAGTAGTCTTTAAACTATTTTTTCTTGTTTATCCCGATTTCTGTCTTCGATATTCGCGGGCAGATGGGTATTGTTGATATGTTTATTACGACGACATAGAACCATTTGTTGGTATGTCTATACACTTCGCAACATATATTGCCATTACATTTAAATTATATCGCGCCTGTATTCACGATTTAGTTCGGAATGTAACAGCAGTCCAAAAGGCATCTAATTTTGTGTTTATAAATCTATAAAGTTTATAAAGTCTTCGTTTGACAAATGATTTGATGTATCAAATGTATCAAAATATGTCAAATCAATATGTATATATATGTATCATTATTACTCCACATGGCTGTTGGTTCCGTGTATGATGTGAGGTAGTGCATCTTATGTAGTTACACTTCTCAAGGTGATTGCGTGTTATTATCCGCCTTGAAGTGCATCGAGAATAGTAAAAGCCGGTCAGTTGGTCTTCCTTATGCCCTCGATGGAAATATCCAGCAGTCAACAGAATCTGGAACAGTAGACAGAAAATAAAACATCGATTTTTTTTTTTTTTCAAATGTCAAGACACATTGTTCGATATCAAACAAATTAATTGTTAATCTAACGTTTTGCCTATCAGATATCCCGAATACATTCCATAACCACACTCTGCTATTCTACAGATCAGATATCCCGAATACATGCCATAACCACACACCGCTATTCTACAGATCAGAAATCCCGAATACATGCCATAACCCCACACTGCTATTCTACAGATCAGATATCCCGAATACATGCCATAACCACACACTGCTATTCTACAGAACCCGTCGTGTGCGGGGAAAACTAGAACACTGACAGGTCAGTAAGGGCCCCGTCTTGTGGCATTATATCCCCCATAATCATCAAGAAGCAATCTGCCCAAATAGCTGAGCTTGCTGTTTGACATTTGGACTTCAAAAAGAATCGCAAGGAAGCAAAATATACATTTTACATTTACTATGATGCGAGTCTTGTTTCCTTCCACCTCCATATTTGCTGGGTTAACAGAAATGTAAATACCGGTGCAATACTCATTTGTTAGCTTTGATTTGTTTTATTTCACCTTATATACCTCCTCCATCAAGAGCCAGGGTCAAAGTCAGATATCCACTTTGTCTTTGACCTTTGGATCCAAATGACCTTGACCATTGACCCAGTGACCCTTAACTTTGGTCAGTTGACTTATTGTTTAATTTCGACCAACTTTGCTTCTTGATATCATAATAAAATGTTCATCAGTGAAAAATACAAAACTTGACCTTGACCCTTTGGACCCCGTAACCTGGACCTAAGGTCAGTTGACTCTGTGTTAAGTTCTGAACAACATTGCTTCATAATGTCATAACAAAATGTTCATCAGGGAAAAGGTACAAAATTTAACTTTGACCTTTGACCCTATGACCTTGACCTTTGGTCAGTTGACTCCTTGTTTAATTCTGATCAACTTTGCTTCATNTTTGAATATATTGACCTTGATCTTTGACCTCGACTTTTTACCTCAGTGTGTCTCTTTGTTTTATTCCGAACAACTTTGCTTCATAATGTCATAGCGAAATGTTCACCAGTGAAAAGCTACAAAATTTGACCTTGACCCCCGACCCGATGACCTTGACCTTTTGTCAGTTGACTCCTTGTTTAATTCTGATCAACTTTGCTTCATAATGTCATAACAAAATGTTCATCAGTGAAAAGATGTAAAATTTGACCTTGACCTTTGACCTTGATATTTTTACCTCAATATGTATTTTTGTGAACTGAACATCTTGACCAAGTTTCATGTACATCAGTCAATAAATACCAAAGTTATCAGCCAGGAACAGAATTTGTGGACGGACAGACAGACAGACAGAGTAATTACTATAGGGCACCCGTATTTCCGATACGGGGCCCTAATTAGGCCACCTGTGTCCTGCTGCATCATTGTAAAATGCGACTAACGTGCACGTGCCCCCTGCAGAATCGGGGGATAGTTTTTACATGTTTTCTAATTTAGAGGACATTGAAGAACCAAGAACATACGTGATATATCCCACTACAGGCGTGTCGTAAAAGGATACCCATGATTGCCTTCCCATTTTTCTTTCTTTTTGCTATCCTTACCTACCCTCATCCGCTCATCCTTCTCTTTTCTAATCTCACATCCAGTCATCCCCAAATGCTTTGTATTAAACTGCCCGTATATGAAAGCTCTTCTCGCGCCCCCAAAATCTTGCAAACATTTTAATAACCTACACTTACATAACATACCCTGCTGATTTTCTAAATATTTTTGAAGTCAATGCCAAATGTTGGTTATTTACATCATATTTGTTTTTATAACAATCCTATATCAATAATGTAAACATATTCTTTCCTATGATAATCCATCTTCTTCTTCTGACATCAGGAGATATTCATTCCAACCCTGGTCCAAACTCTAGTAATATGACGGCAACCCATTCACTGAATCTTATGCATCTTAACATTAGAAGTATACGAAACAAAATAGGCTACATTGAAGCATTGACCGACGATGTCGACATTCTTTGTATAACCGAAACTCATTTGGATCCTTCTATAACTAATGAAGAAATTACGCTACAGGGCTTTAGTGACAAACCGTTTAGAAAAGATAGGAATATGTTCGGAGGGGGTGTATTGTTATACTATTCTCCATCTCTCGTAGTTAAAAGAAAACTTGAGTTAGAATTTGCTAATGACGAAGTAATATGGGTACAAGTTTATTCAAATAATATTACACATATAATAGGAAATCTATACAGACCACCTAATCTAAATTATTCTGACGGTATATGGCAGAGACTAAAACATTCCCTCGACCTGGCATTCGATATTACAGATAATGTTATTTTGATGGGCGATCTAAATGTTGACTTTTTAAAATCCTCCAGAGATGAATTATTCGACCTTCTCACTTTGTACCAGATGTCAAATATTATAACCGAACCTACCAGAATAACGGACCATTCAGCAACATTATTAGATCCAGTAATTATCAGTAACACAATCAACACTTTTTTCAGTGAAGTTATTAATATAGACGACAATATAAGTGACCACAATGCTGTTTTTACAATAATTGAAGTACCGAAACAAACCCAAACAGTTTTCAAACGAAAGGTATGGCTATATGACAAAACAGACATCGAAAAGCTTAAACATTTTATCACAAATATATCATGGGTAAACCAATTTAATATGTTTAATGACGTTAATGACATGTGTGATTTTCTGACAACCACTATACTTAACGCTGTAGATATATGCATACCATCTAAATATGTGCAGATTAGACAACATGACAAACCCTGGATCAATAATATTGTCAGAAGACAAATACGTAATAGAAATCGATTAAAAAAGATACTTATAAATAATAATAATGATTTTAATAGGACGAAATTTAAACAATCAAGAAATAAAACAAATAATATGATAAAACGAGCAAAAGAACTTTTCTACGAAAATATCGACTCTATCATAGTCAAAAATAAATCTAACCCCAAAACATATTGGAAATTGTTAAGGTTTGTACTGAAAGGAAGCAAAACTACTGATATATCACCACTTTTTGATGACAATGCTAACGAATTCACGAATGATAATAACCATAAATGTGAACTTCTTAATAACTATTTTTCTTCAGTATCCAGTCATTCCGAAGTAGACCAAAACAAACCTATTCCCATTTTAGAAAAACGAACAGACTCTCTTTTGTCCGAAATTCATATTATACCTTCTGAAATAGTTGATATTATTAACATACTAGATGTAAATAAGGCAACAGGGCCTGACGGAATCAGTCATCGAATGTTAAAACTTGTAGCAAATGAAATTGCCATTCCCCTTTCCCTCATTTTTAATCACTCCTTAAACAATGGTATATATCCCGATAAATGGAAATTAGCAAACGTCATGCCGATCTTTAAGTCTGGCGACGCTCATAATGCTTCGAATTATAGACCAATATCATTATTAAGCTGTGTTGGAAAAATTTTTGAACGTGTAGTCTATAAACATATTTACAACTTTTTTAACTCTAATTATCTTATTTACAAACTTCAGTCTGGATTCTTACCCAATCATTCTTGTACGCATCAACTCATTGAAATGTACCATTCTATGATGTTAGCATTAGAAAACTATGAACATATAGCTTTTACTTTTTGTGATTTTTCAAAGGCCTTCGATCGAGTTTGGCATAGAGGGCTTTTATACAAACTTCAACAACATGGTATTTCAGGCAGTCTTCTTAATTGGATAACAAACTATCTTTTTGAGCGTAAGCAATCCGTCTTTATTCACGATTCCCATTCTTCTGTAAGAAATATAAACGCCGGTGTTCCCCAAGGTTCAGTGTTAGGCCCTTTATTCTTCTTGATTTATATTAACGACATTTCAACCGAACTCTCCTCATTATCTCGTCTTTTTGCTGACGATACGTCGCTTTCATACTCATCACCAAACCTAGAAAATATTGTAAGTGAAGTAAATAAAGACCTAAAAACTCTAGAGAAATGGTCTAAAAATTGGCTGATGTCTTTCAATCCTAAAAAAACCGAAATCATGATTGTTTCTAATACAAATCTACCCTTTCAACCCCAATTTATTTTTAACGATACTTCTATCCTTTTAACAGATAGCCACAAACACCTTGGAGTTATACTAAGTAGCGACGGTAAATGGAATAAACATGTAGACGAACTTATCAAAAAAGTGGCTAAATATATAGCAACCCTTCGTAAAATGAAATGGTTACTCAGTAGAAATAACCTTGAAAAACTATATTTAACGTACATTCGACCATTATTAGAATATGCATGTGAAGTCTGGGACAATTGTGGAATGACAAATTCATCAAAACTTGAAAATATTCAGATAGATGCTGCACGAATTGTTACAGGACTACCTATTTACACAAAAATTGAACATATATTTAATGAAATTGGCTGGGTTCCACTAAGTAATAGAAGGAAAAACAGAAAATTGTCCCTATTCTTTACAATTAAAAACGGTACAGCTCCTAATTATTTGTGTGACACCTTACCAGATAGCATTGGGGATATTTCTCGTTATAACCTAAGAAATTCCCAACATTTAAGACAACCAAACTTTAGGCTTGAAACAATGCGCAATTCTTTTTTCCCATCAACTACAAAAATGTGGAATGACCTAGATATATCTATAAGGAATTCGGCTTCTCTCAGTTCATTTAAATCAAATATAAAATCAAAAGGTAAACCACAAAATAAATGCTTTCTGGTATGGGGTTCCCGTAAATCAAATATACTTCATTGCCGTTTGAGAAATCGTGCGAGCTCCCTTAACTATGACCTATTTAGAGCAAATTTATCAAATACAGCTGAATGTGCATGCGGTAATCCATGTGAAGACTCTTATCACTTCCTTTGTGTCTGTCCCTTATACACCCAGCATCGCAATCTATTAATAAGAGAGCTTCAACCTGTTCGTGATGATTTAACTTTAGACTTGCTCCTATATGGCGATCCTAAATTCAGCATTAATGTAAATACCTCAATTGCAAAATCTGTCCAAAATTATATCAGCAAATGCAACAGGTTTGACTGAATGTGATCATCTTTCTCTCTCTATCACTCTTTTTTTTCTCCGACTCTACCTGTGTTACTATCATTTACTTCATTACTCTATCCGTCTTTTCTTCCACTCTATTTTTCATCTACTCTATCTGTGTTACTATCCTTTACTTCGTTTCGCTCTCCTTCTTTTCTTCGTCTCTATTTTCCATTTCCATATAAAAACATAATTAATGTATATTGCGTAAATTACCTTATCAAGTTATTGTTTATATTCATGTATTTGAAGAAAAGGACTTTGATAAGTTGGTAAAACTTGTGTCCAATTCTTTTGTAAATATTTATTTGCAATAAAATATGTTTTAAAAATTGCCTTCCTGTAGAAACAGATTTTTCTTCCATGTCCTATAGAAACAGGATATAGAGAAGACCAGAAACAGCGTTACAGAAACACGGAAGACATCTAATTCATCAGATTTCAATTTCCCATCGACTGCAAAGCGGGTTTTTTTCAAAAAAGTTTAAAATGAAATAAAATTCAAATTTAGTGACCTTTGACCCAAGAAGGATAATTTTAATTTGACGTATTTTGTCATAACATGTAATGAGAAAATGTTATAAAGAGCAAATTACTTCACCGTTAGTTTTCTGTGATGTGGCTGGTCTGATAAATAACATGAATGTACCTTGGTAAAGGCAAAACTATCTATAACAAAGCGGAATTTCAAGTCAGTGCGGCCGTATTCTTATCGGAGGTCGGGTCGGGGAGTTTGTTTAATCACGTGAGGTTCATTGTACCAAAGTACTAAAGCTTTAGTTGTTATTTCCTCCTGAACGTTCAGCATTTAGGGTAAAACTGGATATCCCGTTGTCAGTATAATGTGACACGGCGGAATGCTGTGCTGGGTGTATAGTATTTCAGTTAGGTAGCACAATAAACTCGGCATGAGATCTTCACTACAACATGGAGGCGAATACACCAACATAGTCTGAGGATGTTTACTCCTCCATGTATACATGAAAATATCACAAATCATTTCTTAATTATGCCATCCATCTTATTTAACGATTACTTGATCTTTAGATGATACAAGATTTAATTCGAATCCATATATATCTCTCCCTCGAACACATCAAATCAAATGATGTACCGAAATCAATGATCTACTCTGATTCCCTATCTATTCTATAAAGTGTTCGTAACAAAACAGTTGACGAATATTTCAATTAATAACATATCAATGTTATAACACAGTATTCCCTCTAAATATAAAAAACATAGCATGCTGGGTTCCCGGCCATTGCGGAATACCAGGTAATGAAAAGACAGATTGCGCCGCCAAAGCTTTCATCTGTGGATTTTAAATTTCATTTTACAGATTTTAAACTTATCTTAATGCTGCATACATCAAAACTATTTTGAAAGATATTCTGTTTGTAAAAGTATTCAATATAAGATATATACTTTTCGCGAATATAAATGTCTACCATAACAGGACACATTTGTGAGTGTATTGGTCCATTAAAATATCCAATATTTCGTTGAATGTGTAGTCATAAAACGTGTCTGTACACGTGTGTCTGTAACATGTATTAAGCTCATATATAGGACTTTACGTCCTTGTTCCGATTGTTACCGCGCCTAGGACAAAGATAACATACACTTGCACATTTTGCGTTAAATATCGCTTGCTCTTATGGAGTTAGTTCGCGGATGTACTAAGTAAGTCATATACATACTGTTTCTGCATAAGCAGTTGAGAGATGATGTGAAGTCATATACCCAGTCTGCACAAGTGTGCAGGTAGCAATTGTTTAAGGTCAAACGCGATAATGCAAAATAATGCAAATACCGATTGATTGTTAGACTGTGAGTTTACGTCCTGGTTCGGAATATCACAACGCCTAGGACGCGAACACCGGTACGCAATACTCAAACATAGGATATAATAATCGGATGTACTGCGTTAGTCACATACAAAATATATATTTAAAATGTGAATTAAAATAGCATGCTTGTACAAATATCAAAAACTCAATATCTATAACGGTGACTGTAGTAATATGGTTAGGACGGTACGCCTTACCTTATTTTGTTTTTTTGTTTTGTACAATCACACCCGCAATCCATTACACAGGTAACTCCAGTACATGTACGGTATGGTTATAGAATAAAAACTCTATACATTAACCACCACAGTTCGTCTAACCTAACAATTTGTCATATAATGATTTCCTACATCACAATAGATTCACACGATGCTTATACGACGATGAATGTATCACGTGGAGTAAAACTTCCTCACTTTCGCTGATGCAATTTTCTGAGCGCTTGCATCTACACACTCGATTGCATGCAACAACGTGCCCGAATGATTTATATTTTTATCGTATGATGTATCTTCCGAACCGGAACGACAGCCCGTTCTGCTCTACCTATTGAACATAAAACTAAATTAGATAGAACTGAAATAAATTATTGTTAGTGTCTTCAGAGCATATATTTTGCCAATTCGTTTTAATAAAATTCGCTATTGATGGTTTAAATCTATTTTATTTATTCCGACATGGCCAGGTGTCCAAATCAAGATCAGTGGGCCGAAGATAAAACCCTTTAACACGAAGGGAAATATTTTTTCTACGTTAAAGTTCCGGTTTTTGATACTTTGTAGTAGTGGCAAAGAGTCGGAGCAGATACAAGCTTTTTTCGTTTTTATCATATTTGTGTAATTTTAGATTTATTTGGAGCAGCTGCTGACTTATGAACAAAAGGCCAAACGTTTGAAATATGCTTAAGTTTTTATTGAAAAATTACAGTAATTTTGACTCAAGGAAACCATGTGAGGTACAAAAAAAATGTTAATAATAAATAAGCATTGTGAATTGCGAGTTCTAACATTAACAGAATATTTGGTGAGTCCTTTATCAATAGAGTCTCTCGATCGGCCTATATCATGAATGCACAATCACTATACGGCTTAACGTGGGCAATACACCCTGGTATGTACAACTAACTACGTCTGCTGGATAACCAAATTACTCCTAGTGAAGCAAACAAACAAAAACAAACGCGTCTAGTGTCGCATGTAGTGCCGCAAAACATCTATAGTTACTACCTAGAAGATATGTAGTGCCGCAAAACATCTACAGTTACTACCTAGAAGATATATAGTGCCGCAAAACATCTACAGTTACTACCTAGAAGATATATAGTGCCGCAAAACATCTACAGTTACTACCTAGAAGATATATAGTGCCGCAAAACATCTACAGTTACTACCTAGAAGATATATAGTGCCGCAAAACATCTACAGTTACTACCTAGAAGATATATAGTGCCGCAAAACATCTACAGTTACTACCTAGAAGATATATAGTGCCGCAAAACATCTACAGTTACTACCTAGAAGATATATAGTGCCGCAAAACATCTACAGTTACTACCTAGAAGATATATAGTGCCGCAAAACATCTACAGTTACTACCTAGAAGATATATAGTGCCGCAAAACATCTACAGTTACTACCTAGAAGATATATAGTGCCGCAAAACATCTACAGTTACTACCTAGAAGATATATAGTGCCGCAAAACATCTACAGTTACTACCTAGAAGATATATAGTGCCGCAAAACATCTACAGTTACTACCTAGAAGATATATAGTGCCGCAAAACATCTACAGTTACTACCTAGAAGATATATAGTGCCGCAAAACATCTACAGTTACTACCTAGAAGATATATAGTGCCGCAAAACATCTACAGTTACTACCTAGAAGATATATAGTGCCGCAAAACATCTACAGTTACTACCTAGAAGATATATAGTGCCGCAAAACATCTACAGTTACTACCTAGAAGATATATAGTGCCGCAAAACATCTACAGTTACTACCTAGAAGATATATAGTGCCGCAAAACATCTACAGTTACTACCTAGAAGATATATAGTGCTGCAAAACATCTACAGTTACTATCTAGAAGATGTATAGTGCTGCAAAACATCTATAGTTACTATCTAGAAGATATGTAGTGCCGCAAAACATCTACAGTTACTACCTAGTAGATATATAGTGCCGCAAAACATCTACAGTTACTATCTAGAAGATGTATAGTGCTGCAAAACATCTACAGTTACTATCTAGAAGATATATAGTGCCGCAAAACATCTACAGTTACTACCTAGAAAATATATTGTGACGCAAAACATATATAGTTACTACCTAGAAGTTATATAGTGCCACAAAACATCTATAGTTATTACCTAGAAGATATATAGTACCGCAAAACATCTAAGTTATTACCTAGAAGATATATATAGTGCCGCAAAACATCTATAGTTATTACCTAGAAGATATAGTCTAAGTCCGACTCTTTTTCATGTTCATCTAGCTTTTAGACTCTGTTTACAAACCAAATGCATCTATTGTATATTATTTTCCATTTTGTCTGAACATGATAATTGTTTCTATATTAAAATAGCCCATGCAGTGGAAGGTATTACATATACCTGTCTTTGTTTATCATAACATGACGGGAGAACGATTTCATCTGTTTTTTATCGGTAGCCTTGTAGCACACGTAAAACTATCTGTATTGTGCCATACACTGTAAGCGTGAAATGTATGGAGTGTTCAAGGGGGAACCATAAAATATCCAGTATATATTTAAATAAGGTATATGCAATCGCTAATGGGATCTGGTAGTAGTGTACATTACGTGTACACAAATACTCTAAACCTTCGACTTTTTCTATTAAATAGACGAAGGCGTTATTAGTTTCTGTTCGGTCGATGATGAATTTGCGCGCTGGTGAATGGCGTTATTAGACAAAAACAGCAATCTTTGAATACGGTTTTGAATTTTCCAAATCCAAAAACGGCGTGCACGCATTTTTGTCAATTACGTAAAACCCATGACGATCCAAATCTCACCCTTGACGGCCAACCAATTCCTGTAGTAGAACAAACTAAATCCCTAGGCGTTATTTTCGATAGAAAAGTATCGCTGCTCCTCACATCAAGTACCTTAAGGCTGAATGCATTAAGGCACTTAATATTTTAAAGGTAATATCCCATACTGATTGGGGCGCTGATAGGAAAGTATTGCTAAGAATCTATAGTGCACGAAAAGTAAAATATTTCATCGCCGAGTCCGAGATACACTTGTCGTATCTTGTAAACTGCGAAACTGCAAATTATGAAAATATAATGAGAAACCCCCCAGACATTTAATGGATTTTAAAAGCCATGCAATCGTATGTAAAGCAACGACCGTTCATAGAATTATACCATAATACAGATGTTTTATTTAAATCTGTAGGATAGATCTACATACACATTTAAAGATTCGAGATACACCACAGAACACCTGTGGATTTAAAATACAACTTCTTTGATGTTAGACATTATAGTAGTAGATCTATATATCATGTGGTAAAATATATAGGGACCTGAGCTATATTTGGTCCTAAACTGAGATGTTCAGAGTAAATTACTCTGAACACCTTAGTTTAGGTCCAAATATAACAAATTATCAGGTCTCTTTGGTATACTACTCCAATCAAGGCATTCTTTTGTCCCACTGTTTTGTATATGAGCGCTCACCTTTGATTGCCTATATCTAGGTAACGGGACAGTTCTGAACGCGCATTGATGGATGATTCGGTATTTATTTCAGTATATGACAGGTTTCGCTGATCAGTTTTTAAAATTGTAAAAAAGCTTGACCAAAACCCTAAAAATAAAGTGTACAACAGTGAAATCGTATTAGATATCAATGAGAACGTCTATTGATAACGTAGGTAAGTAATATATTTTTATGCTCTAGTGATGCCCTGTTTTAAAAAAGGTGACAAATCTAAACCCTCAAATTACCGACCTATATCTTTACTCAGTACAGTTGGGAAAGTATTCGAAAAAGTAGTAACTAAATTCCTACATAATTATTTGATAGAAAACTCTCTTATCTACAAATACCAATCAGGATTTCAGCCAGGTAATTCCACTGTCCATCAACTTATTGAAATTTTTCATCAAATTTGTGAAAATCTAGACAAAAAACATCCAACTTGTCTAATTTTTTTGTGATATATCTAAAGCCTTTGACAGAGTATGGCATAAAGGGCTGGAAGTGAAACTATTCAGCTATGGTATTTCAGGTAAATTACTACACTGGTTAGTTGACTATGTTACTGACAGACGACAACAAGTTTTTGTGGGAAACAGCAGATCTTCTTAAAGGAAAATAAATGCAGGAGTTTCTCAAGGTTCAGTCCTCGGACCCCTACTATTCATTTTGTACATGAATGATATTACTGATAATCTCAATTGTATCTCAAAACTATTTGCTGATGACACATCCTTATTATTTTCAGACGAATCCCCACTAGTTATTGAAAACAAAATTAACAATGATCTTACCACTATCCAGCAGTGGGCAAATAAATGGTTGGTCAAATTTAAATCAGACCAAAACAGAAGCTCTGCTTATTTCTAACATAGAACTAGACCACGTTATTGACATTAATTTTAATAATGAAAGTGTAGATTTTGTTGACCACCACAAACATTTAGGTGTATTTTTTGCTTTTAACTGTAAATGGAGCCATCATATCGAACATTTATCAACACAGGCTGCAAAACTTATTGGTATTTTAAGAAAGCTAAAGTATACTGTAAATCGCACGACTTTAGATAAAATATATAAATCATATATTCTACCAACTTTAGAGTATTGTTGTGGACTATGGGATGGATGTAGTGTTGCAGATGCTGATAAGGCCAAATAAAATAATATGTGTGTTTCCTATTCCCTCGAAATTTGAATCCAGGAAGGTAGGTAGGCAAAACATTTTATTTTATCAAAACATTTTATTTCTTTTTCAAATGTTATACAAACGATTCAATGTCAATTGATCATGTACCCAGTGTGTTTATTTTCAGCATTTCAGAGGCTGTATTATTATTCGAAAGTACAAACATGCATAAGTATATAAAGCACCATTACTTTTAATATTATCATTTATTTGCAGCATTTTAAAGAATGTTTCCAAATTCAAAATAAAAAAAATGATAAATTTACCATTGCCAAACACATATATATATTATTTCACACGGTGCTTTATATAGTTAGAAAGGCCCACCTAAACCTATCACATTGTCAACTTTAATAGTATATGTTAAACAAGACTTAGCCTGTCTTCGAACTGTCCTTATAATTTATTATCAAAAATGTATTAAAACATAAACTTGTTGTTTGTCGTTCTTCAATATTTCTGTATCTGAGAATAATCCTCCACCACTGAGTTTGTCACATTTCAAAAATTGTTGATATGAACTCTTTGTTTTCA